CCCCAAAACCCCAAAACCCCAAAACCCCATTATCTATTTAGTAAGATTAATTATAGGCAAAACAAATAAATTAGATACATTACTATTCAAAAACCAATGTTTTTTAATGAATTGCAGACATGTTTTTGCATGCAAGTCAGGTGTCCCTTATTGCCGCAATGAATGCATTCTCCACATTTTTCAATTTCGAATTCATAGTAAGGGACTCCTCCTTTGCATATTTCACACTACAGTTTCTTCAAATCACATTTCTTGCAATTCTATAGGTGATCTAACATGATTTATGTGATACTCTTAAGCTTATTTCTCAGAACTCCAGTTCTATACAGGTTCAACTGCTAGAGTGAAATGACGAAATCTTTCAGGACTAGGTTTTTCTCGCCAGCAAATCCATTTTTCTCAACAATATTCATCCAAGCATCACATTTGATTAGATCATAAATCTTGTGGAATTTTCTTCTGAATATCATAAACTTATAGAGCTAATCTTAAATAGCTACCTAAGGATGGGTATTTTGAATCTTAATGTAACTTCTTCTATTTAGGAACATAGCTGCAAGTTAGCAGACCTACTTTGGCTCCAAATCATAGGAGAGATTGAAAAGTCTTGGAATCACGAACTTCTCATCGCTTAGACACTCTTTAGAGCAAACATATTCCAAACAGAAAAAGCATTGAGAGCGCTTGACATACTTGATCATAAAGGAGTCCATTTACTTTCCACACTGATGACACATATTCTTATTTTTAAATCTCCTTGATATTTTCTTAAAGAACTTATGAACTTCTACTGAACTGTACTCCTTTCTCTTAAAGATTTACATGAACTCATTAAAGAATGAGATATCAGAGTTCTTGAGTTCTACTTGCTTATGACCTTTGTGAGATAAAGAAGTAGCAGTTGGTAATCTCTGAGTGCTTCTAGCTCTATTTTCCATCTTGGCTTTGAAGTAGTAATTCATCTTATCAATATTCAAGCCTGTAAGAGGCTAGCTGTCACTTTCTTAACTGGCTAAACTCTTAAGAATGTTCTCTTATAATCTTAAATTTTGTAGTTTGCTCTTATGAGGAGATACTTTCTAGTTGACATACATAGGCATTTAATGACTAGGATTGTCAAACATCATATCTGATTAATCATCACTCTAAAACTATTAGGGTGATGACTGTCTCTTAGATTTTACCTATATCTATTATTGATCATTAACATAGTCTCTTGGACTAATGTGAAATCTCTATTTATCATAAAACCCTCTCTTTTATATTTGATTATTAATTGATGGCCTTTATTGAGCTGTTTTGTCGATTCCTCTGACGAAGTTTCCATAAGAATTCTGTATATTGTGAGAGTTTTAGGTAAATTTTGATTGGTTGGTCTCATCAAGAGAGTATTCGGATTAGTCATATCTTGGAAGAGAAGGTGATGGCTGAACATATTTTTATTAGGCCTATTTCTTCATGAGTTCTTAATCCTAGAATAGATTAAGTCTCATATCTGGTCTACTCTCTCTTCTTTCTCCTATTTAGGCTAGGATCAAACTATCTTCTTCAACAATCATTTCTAAGTTGTCTCTGCTTTGATCATGCTGTTAGTTGCTCATATTTCTTTAATGAATAGGTTTAATTTATTCAAGCACTTGAATGTTTTAATTAGACTAAGGATTTAAGGAGAAGTTGAGTTCAGCATGATTTTCCTCAGAGTCACTGTCATCTCCAAGGGCATTAAGGAATTACTTTTTTTCTTTTTCCTCTTCTTCCATGACTTATTATTTCATCATTGCCAATAATTTTAGATCTTCTTACAAATTTTTCTGATCTTCATCTATTTCATCTTCCTATTCGTATTTAACCTGTAATGTATCTTTAATTTGAATGCCAAGATTTTACTCCATCCTCTTCTTCAAACTTTCCTTCAGAAAATCCTGATATCTTTAATTGAATTTGCTGTTGATCAGTAAATTATGCTAATATATCTTAGAACTCACTTCTAATAGCTGATTCTAGTTACAATGAAAGAAGCTATTATTGTAGTCATAATGAGTCAGGAATTCATAGCTTTTTAGAATTTCATGGAAACAATAAAACAGAACGTTTTCTTCATTGAGAACCAGAGTGATCCAACTAAGAGCACACTCAGAGTGCTGTTATTAAGGGCCCAACACCTGGCTGATGTATGTTACTGAAGAGTAACCTTTGAAAATATCTGATATCAATTCCCAATAATGACTCACTTTCATTTAAGAGTCTGGTCCTTTCTCTCTAAACCCGTACTCAAAGAATTAGTTTACTATTATGATCAGATTCTTAGCAAATCTGTCGACAGTTTCCCCTGTGTTGACTTCCTGTGGATTAGTCTTGGCATATTCAAATATAAACCCCTTCTCCTTTTCACTCAATAGTGATGACTTGTTTATAATAAGCTACAGTTTCTCCCCAATAGTCAGCTTTTCTTCCTCCAAATCAATAGGACTTTCATAGCCCTCATCATCATCGTCCATAAATTGCTGCACATTCTCGATATATTTGGGTCTTTAGACATCCTGGAGAGTTTACTCTACCCTATCCACAAGCTTGAAAGTATTCTGCTTGATAAAATTAAACATTTTATCTCAATTTCACAATTATTTATAAATAATATTCTTTATCCCTACATCGTCATTCTTTTCTCTTTGCTCGCAGTTTACTTGATGGGGTTTTGGGGTTTTGGGGTTTTGGGGTTTTGGGG